AAAGACTCTCAGTAAATAACCACGTCTAAATCTTTTCTCTGTTAATGCCTATTTCAAATTATTTCTTTCACAAATTGAATAGTAATAACTTCCACGGTTTTCTGTCATTTTTATAGTATATGTACATCGTGATAGCCGCGCCCTCTTTGTCTTTATCCTTCCAAAGTCTCTCGCAAACGGCAGATAAGAGGGGCTCTGGCATACCAGAATGTAGTATATAAATTTGAAATTTTTGCAACCCTTGTCAACTGAATTCAACATGTAATTCAATGGTTGAAAGTTTGTTGTTTTCCGCCTATGTGCCGCAATGAGACATCAGTCTGATCAGATTGACATTTTAAAAACAATCTCTTAAACCAACCTTGTAATTTCAGAAATAACATCAGATACCCACAGACAGAAAAATGTTCAAGCTTAAATTTCCCATAGATCTTATAATTCTTGACATTGGCTAATTTCTGTTCATGCTATTCCTTATCAATTCTAAACGCATTTCTCTATTTTTGGATATGAATTACAAACAACGTGGAATTTTATTTTGGGGTGATGGGACATTACTACTTCTTCACTAAGGATAATTACAATTTATAAATCAAGTTTCAGCTTATTTATTTTTTCTACGGCATCTTCATGATGCAATTTTCTTTTACATCTAAGTTGGATCCCATTAAGTGAATTTAGACGATCATTCAAAAACATTAGTTTGCATCATTTAAAGGCTTTCTCAACAGTGTACCTATATGTGAAAAAGCCAGTTTTGCTGATATAGACTCAAACAGGGGTTTCATTAGCAACAGGCAACAGGTTGTTGCTGTTGTTTTCATTTATTTAGCCTGTTGTGAGAAATTCCAGTGAAACCCCTGCTAAAGAAAGAAGGCACACTTTACATCATAGCAACATATACTGGTGATCCCTTATCTCCATGACAGTAACAGGTTTTTATATATCAAATTAGAATTAGAATTTGGTAACAATACAATATGATGACATAAGGTTGCCATGGCAACATAAGCTTGATTAATTTTCTAAAAACTCTTATATAATAGTAATTGCTTTATTGTAGTCAGGTATGTTACTAATGTGTGTTTTTGATATTTTGAAGCAAAGCACCTACATAAGTCAGTTGTTTGAGACTAATCAGCAAATGAAATAAGACGTAAAATTGTACATATCTTCAAAAAAAGTAGTCATATTTTCAATTTCTAGCTGATCATCCTTAACACTTATTCAATCCCTGGTATAATTGATGAAAATAGCCTTAGTTGCACTTCACATGATAGCGGCCTTCTCAAGATTTTTTCTTCTGATTTCTCTCTAAAAATTTGAATTAAACATCTGATTTTTTTCAAATTGTTATACAATAGAGAGTGTTCACTTAGGCACGTAGCCAAGGGGGGTGGGAGCAGAGGGAGCAGCCACTCTCCCCCCCCCCCCTAGAAATTATTTTAAAATTATGCAGTTTTGGCTTGATTTTTTGCCAAAACTGTCAAAAAGCTCCCTCCCTAGGCAAAAGCTCCCCCCTTGGTAAATCCATTCCCTCCAGTAAATCCTGGCTACAGGCCTGTTACTACAGGCCTGTATAATTCCTTGCTAATTCCACACTTTTTTACCTTATTTTGTATTTCAAAACATTGACCATGGTGAAATTTCCAGTTGCATTTTAACACAAAAGACATAAGGTGGGAGGTATCAACAATGAGCCTTTAATTATAAAGAGCTTCTTAAGTCTAAAATGATGTGATCAATATTGTAATATGCCCTAGGGTTATAGCAATATATAAGATAATCAAATAACCGTGAATTGTATAGTGGACTCCAGATTTCCTTTGGATGGCCTCTCGTGAGGCAAAAAATTGCGAATTGTCATGAAGGCGAGGAAAAATAAAGAAAGAAGATAAATGTTAGCACTTTATAGAAAAGGTTTACACGGAGTATTTTTAAAATTGAAAATGAGAAAATAAAGGTATGTTTCCTATTTTGTACCTGGCTCTCCTATGCATTTGCCCCATCTATTTTGAGACAATTTGTATTGATGCAGATGCATATCATATATAAGGATTTGTAATAAAATTTTTGTAATATATTACCATTCTCACAATTCCACAAAATCAAATATGTAATAACTTGATGTTGCATCAAGGAAATGACCAATGCAGAGCGTACAATGAGCCAGATACAGAAAGAAAGTGTACATAATTCAACACGTTGTTTGACGGTCAAACTGATCTAAGATCCAAAGGCAGATACTCCAGGGCCGTAACAAGGAGCATTTTGGGGGTTCCCTGGCAAAAATTTGAGCACTTTTCCAAATATTTTGGACCCTTCTCGAATCTTTAAAAGCTTACCCCCTTCCGTCCTTGAACAAAAGCTGGCTACGGGAATACGCTCTACTGACTGAGCTATCTAAACTTTCCAAACAGGGTCGCTACATGAATGCTTTTTTCAATTTAGAGAAAAGGCAGTGAATAAGACCGTGACGTTTCTTACAACAAAGCAATCAGGTGACCCTGTACCTAAAGGACACAAAGCCATTTTAAGTTATGTCATGTGAGAAAAAATTAAGCTTAACAACCGCAGAAAAAAAGAACATGATCTTCTGATTAGGTAACAAGAGACATTCAATGTAATCGTAAATTTGAAATATATCCGTCTGCTCTTGATTATTCCGTTCAATTTCTTTGTAAAATTTGAATAAAGTGTCTGATTTTCTTCTATTTTTGTACAATTTAGAGTGTTGCCTCCATGTCTGAATTATTCATTCCTTGTTAATTCCACACTTTTTTACTCTATTTTGCATTTTAAAACACAGCCGTGATGAAATTTCATGGATGAGACTTGAGGGTAACTGATCGGTTCTTTAGAAGAACATATCCCACGTTAAAGCCTTTTATGACATAACATTTATCAATAAGGTCCATGCCTTAAAAACATCTCGACAAATATTGACTACCCGGGATATATAAGTATTTGATATTTGTTAAAGATTACACTGATCTCTTCTAATAAATGGTTTATCCGCTTCTCTTAATCTTTTCTCAAGTTATCCCTTTTTTCAATGTTTTCTCGCTAGAATTTGATTGAACTGCATGATTTTATTGCATTTCTATACAATTTAGAGTGTTTTCTTCATGCCTGTTTACTTTATTCCTTGCTGATTTCTCTCGTTTTACAGTATTTTGCATTTTAAAATATGACCTTCAAAGAATTATTCTCAAAGGGTGGAACATATTGAACTAGTAATTCATAATAATGTTTCCAGACCTGTTTCTCAAATTATTTTTTTTCATTTTTCTAGTCTAATCATAATCAAACATGCACACAAAAAGACAACTAAGGATTAAAGAAAACATTTGAAATATCTGTTTTTGTATGAAACAAGGACTTAAGTAGGTATTTGCTCAGTGCTAATGATGTTCACTTAAGTTGAGAGAGAGCTATCTATTAAAAGGCATAACATGACGAAATGTCACCAACAAGTTGCCTACTGTTAGAGAGAGAAAACATTTCAATGTAAGTCGTTTAATTTGTTGTCATGGTAACCGATATTGACTAAACTCAAAAGTGTCTAAAACATACCTAGAGTAGGTTATCATTGTACCAGGGTTTACAGTAAATCTGACCCTGTCTTCCAAGTTGTCACAGGAACTGCTTTAAGTCACAATACTAAAATATTTATTGCCATGGTAACATACAAGTTAACTGCCAGAATGCTGAAAACTTGTAACATACCTATAGGCATTCATTGTATGAGTTTTAGGTCAATTTAACCTTAACATATTCAGTTATACAGATCATTACTCCTCAAATGCTATTGCTATGTCGCCAAAATGTTACAAAAATGTTCAATCCCTTGAAGTCCACTTTGTTGCTATGGTAACAGACATAGCCAACCATGTTTATATGTGTTGACAGTAAATCAATTAGAACTGAACATTATTTCTTAAGTTATTGAAAATTGTAATAAAAGCGTAACAATCCGTTACAGAGACACTGAATGATGACAACTGTCACAAATATGAATATACATGACATCTTAGTAACATAGACTGCACGTTGTGACATCTTTTCTGAGTATGAAAACCACATCCATGCAAAAAGTTATAAAAGTGTAATGATTTGTTACAGAGAGACACTGAATGCTAACCAGTAACCATGGTCACTAAAAATAATATAACACTTCTTGGTTACACAAAAACTTTGCATCTTGTAACATCTTTTCTGGAATATGAACTCCACAATCCAAGTTTTATAAGTAAAAATACAGTATAGTATCTTTCCATTGCAAACGACATCTATTTATTGGAAAAACATCAATTTTGTTAAAGCCTGAATAATCCCTATTACAATAGTCTCTTGCTCCTATAGTTCTTGTTAACTCATTTCTTGCCAATGAACACCCAACTCTTTTATCAAATACTTTTTATAAGACTTTTGAACACAATTGATTTGAACATATACCTTCCCATTATACTGTAACATACAAGTGAAAACACTGATACAGTATATGCATGTTCAGATATCTGCATTTGCAAATAAGTTTCATGGAAATCAGATTTTCAGTAAATAAAGTGAAACTACAAGGGTCGTTCAACTGAGTTTCAACTCAACCATGAAGATTCAAAATAAATCATAGTGCAAATAAGAAAGACTGACCCATAAAAATAAATAAAATTACTGAGAGACTCGAGAGTGAATTTTCCAAGCAAAGCCTGTTTCACTCCATTTCTCTCTAAAATTTGAATGAAGTGTCTGATTTTCTTGCATTTCTATACAATTTAGAGTGTTAACTACATGCCTGTTTACTTATTTCTTGCTGATTCCACTCTTTTTCACTTTATTTTACATTTTAAAACATGACTTCCATTAAATTTAGTCGCAAATGAATCAGTAAACAAAAGCGCCACCTACCTCAGTGACTTTACAACTCTTTTGTGACTGGGAAGATGTAAAAAATCCAAAAGAAATGAAGTTCTTGCGGCAACTTCACTTCTTTTCATTCCGTATAAGCGACCAAAGTAACTCAATGTTTCGCCAATTGTAAATTCGTTCCATAGTGCGGTTTCCTGCAAGAGAATGCTATCTGGTTTTATCCAATCCCGTTTGCTCTCTGCTTTTATCTCCCATTTTTCTTTAATATTTGGATGAAATGCATGTAATTTATAAGTAACATCCTGACATTTAACATTTCTAGGTAATTCTAACTTGTTTACTCCATTCAAAAGACTCACCAAATCAGCTCTAATTTGAAAATAAATTTAAACATCAAAAAAAAATTCCTATATCAAAATTATATTTCTCTTTTTGGAGAAATAGAGGATTTTATCCCATACTTGGACGTGTTATAGGTACATAAAGCCGGTTTGTAAAATCTTATATTTTCATCAGCGGGCAGATATAGCTTTACGTCCCGCTCCGAGCGGGCAGATATAATATATCTGCCCGCTACGTCATAATCGCCGCTCGCATATTTGTTCATAATTTGTAACGTCCGCGTAATGACTGTAAACGACAATAGAGAAAACACAGACAATCGGGATCTGTTTGATGGTTTAAAAAAGGGAAGGAGCATCCACTTAATCAATCAAAAATTCGAGAAAATAAATGTGGGAATATTTGAGAGAACAGGAAAATCCGCCACGGCCAAGAAAACAAAACTGGACATGAATTCTAAAATATTTTCATAATTGAACAATGTGAAGCAGATGACCAAGATTGGTATGGGATAAACATATTATCCTATAGTCGATTCAGGATATTGGGATTATCCCTTGGCCAATATAATATATTTTCCCTCGGGACCTGCGGCCCTCGGGCAAATATATTATATTAGCCTCGGGATAATCCCAATATCCTGAACCTCATATAGGATAATCTCTATATATCATTCCGTGTTTCAGAAAATAGGATTATTTCATTTGTGTTACCAAATATTCATTGCTTTAAAAAAAAAATTCATTAAAATTGCATTTTAATTATTTTTTTCTTGAAATGTGTACCTGGGGCATATAGCCAACCATTTTTCCTGGTACGCCATGACCACGGCTTCCGGGATGTTTTCCAAGTGTGATAACCTCACCGCCATCAATTTTCAGTCTTCCCAAAATGCACCTCAGAAGTGTCGTTTTCCCGCATCCACTTGGTCCAAGAAGACCATAACTGAAAAAACAATTTATTAATGAATTTTTGGTAAATATAAGTAACTGAACCAAAAGGCTCATAATAATATTGCTACTATTGCTAGTAAAATTTTTATTAGACAATTGAATTTGATCAATCTAATCTGATTGATCAGAAGTAATGTATATGAAGCTCTCTTTTAATGATACAGAGCACAAGTGTGATCAGGCAACATGTTATTCTATAAATAGACATTGCAGTTCGACATGCCCCCCCCCCCATACCTCCCCCCCCGCATGGCCCTCATCATGTGTGCAACTTATGATGATACCAAGCCACAAAGTATTCCCATTTATTTGTGCATATAAATTATTAGCTGCATAAAGTGTACCCTTTTTCTATTCACCAGAGATGAATAAAAGTTCAGTCACCCCCTCCCAGCCTCTCCCCCCCCCACGAAAATGTTGCATCTATAATAATTAATTTGCTTACATGGCTCCTTTATTGACAGTTGTATTTAAATTTCTCAGGACATCAATACGATTTTTCCCGCGGCCATATCCTTTATCTAACCCTCTTACTATGATAGCCCTTTCTTCATTTGGAGCGCTGGGGATTGCAGAGGCTGCCATTGGAAAGGTCCTGTAAAATAAAGAAAGGTTTTATACTTATCTAAAGGACATAATCCATACTCATGTAAGGAATAAATTACAAATATGATGCCACTTTGGCTGAATTATGAACATGTTAATCATAAGAATCAATCTTCTATTTCGTCTCATAATTAGGATCCATTTGAGACTAATGTGACTAGCCATTCAGCCGTAGATGATACTTACACCTGTATGTTCTCATATGGTGGTTCCACTGTTTGATCACCCATTTTGTATCTAATTAATTGCAGAAGTATTTAAAAAAAATTTACACTTTGTATATAACATACAGCCTTTAACAAAAAATACCACACCTTATGTTTTAAAATTTGAATCAGCGTAAAAAGCGAGCAATTAGCAAGGAATAAAGTAAACAGACAGGAAGTAAACACTCAAAATTGTATAGAAATGCAAGAAAATCAGATACTTTATTCAAATTTTAGAGAGAAATTGAGTGGAATAGGCATGATTATTGATAATTTTTGTCAAGGGAGGATGCAAATTCCAAAGATTAACTATACTTTATATATACACTTGTAGTTTCGGCATTTGAGTGAGTGATTGATTATCAAAGTTCATTAGTAAAGAACTTTTAATCTCATTACTATCTCTTTCTTAATATTTCATTTAATCAATCTCTTCAATAGACATTTTTCTAGATTTATAATGTTTAGTTGTGTCCTTTTAAATAAAATAAACAAGGCATTAATGCAAAATGTCACTACCTGCCATTTGTTACAGATGCTGACCACTGAATGCTGTTACAGATCCCAAACACCAACCATCAAACACCAACCACCAAACATCGGCCAAAAAAGTCAGAGACCAAAACAATATATCACTTGACTTCTGGTGGTGACATAAAAATGAAATTGAGGAAATGTAAATTCAACATAATATTTATTAAATTATAATTCTGATTTTGAAATATTTTTCTATAATACATGTATATTAAAAAATATTTCATTACTCATCACGAACAGATTCATTTATTTAATTCTCATCACACTGATTTACAAAGGTCAAGGATTTTTACATGGTAATCCTATATGGCAGATAAAAATAGGACAGAAAGTGTTCACATTTCAATGAATTTACATGGTAATCCTATATAGCAGATAAAAATAGGACAGAAAGTGTTCACATTTCAATGAATTTTATATGGTAATCCTATATGACAGATAAAAATAGGACAGAAAGTGTTCACATTTCAAGGAATTTTACATGGTAATCCTATATGACAGATAAAAATAGGACAGAAAGTGTTCTCATTTCAAGGAATTTACATGGTAATCCTATATGGCAGATAAAAATAGGATAGAAAGTGTTCACATTTCAAGGAATTTTACATGGTAATCCTTTATAGCAGATAAAAATATGACAGAAAGTGTTCACATTTCAAGGAATTTTACATGGTAATCCTATATGACAGATAAAAATAGGACAGAAAGTGTTCATATTTCAAGGAATTTTACATGGTAATCCTTTATAGCAGATAAAAATATGACAGAAAGTGTTCACATTTCAAGGAATTTACATGGTAATCCTATATTGCAGATAAAAATAGGATAGAAAGTGTTCACATTTCAAGGAATTTTACATGGTAATCCTTTATAGCAGATAAAAATAGGACAGAAAGTGTTCACATTTCAAGGAATTTTACATGGTAATCCTATATGACAGATAAAAATAGGATAGAAAGTGTTCACATTTCAAGGAATTTTACATGGTAATCCTTTATAGCAGATAAAAATATGATAGAAAGTGTTCACATTTCAATGAATTTTACATGGTAATCCTATATGACAGATAAAAATAGGACAGAAAGTGTTCTCATTTCAAGGAATTTACATGGTAATCCTATATGGCAGATAAAAATAGGATAGAAAGTGTTCACATTTCAAGGAATTTTACATGGTAATCCTTTATAGCAGATAAAAATAGGATAGAAAGTGTTCACATTTCAAGGAATTTTACATGGTAATCCTATATAGCAGATAAAAATAGGACAGAAAGTCAGGCCCGTAGCCAGAATTTTCCAAGGGGGGGGTTCACTTTGGAAAATATGGCCAAAAATCACTCAAAAAGTAGTCAGAATGGTGAAAAACTGCATGATTTTGAAAGAAATTTTGGCCAGGGGGGGTTCGCCCGAACCCCCCGAACCCCCCCTGGCTACGGGCCTGAAAGTGTTCACATTTAGAGGTGTTCAAATAAAAGAGGTATTTGAAAATACAAGTTTGCCTGTAAATGTATTTTGCACTTCAAAACCAAAGGTAAGTACTTAACTGAACCTGTTAAGGTTATTAATTATATTTTGATTTTCAAGGTGCAAATATAACCTAAACTTGACACTCTTTAAGTATAAAACAAACCAGTGAACTTTAAGTATTGTAGTAATATGGTGCACCACCAAGTTGAGAATTTTACAGTTACGCCACACCTCGCTCATTTAACATTGCCATATTATTATTTGGACCAAAACACGCACCTAGAACTCATTTTTAATAAATTTTATAAATATTTTTAAGAATATTAATCATATTTAGGATGAAGCGTTGCTTGTCTGGATTTAGATATTTCAAAATTTCATTTCGGAGTTTGACACATGGTGAAATTTTTTCGCTGTAGCTAAAAATGGCTTCCGGTTCTGGACGTGAATAACATTTGAAATTATTCTCGCTTAAAGAAATCAAATATAACAATAGATTCAGACGGGGATGTGAGCTGATGTTCTTCAAATCTATACATACATGTAAAGGTATATTTCATATTATTATGCCATATTTACTGTGCGTGTGACACAATGATTTACAATATTTATAATACTAAGGCAGCTCAATCTTCCTCCTCAAAGCCGGAATATAGAGAAGGCTTTGGACCGAAGTAAGTACAGGCTAGGCCTAAAGTGAAAGTGCATGTTTGAAATAAAACAACTGAAGAGACCATAGTCTAATTAATTTTGCCTAAGAAACCTACAATTTCGTCTGTTTACGAGTAACTACATATAAAATCTATGTACTTTAGTTAAAGGTTAATGGTAGAACTATGTTACATTATATCGAATACAATTCTAATGACTAAATATTAACAGTAAATAGAGAGAAACGAGCATTTCAAACTGACCTCTCTTCAAACAGGAAGTTGACAAACCTCGTTTGGAAATCGAAATTGACCTACATTAATTTTGCACAAATTCTTTGGAATTCTTTACATTCTGATAGTTTACACGCTATTTGAGCGATTAAAACCGACATGGGCGATCGACAGTACCATCTAAAGTTCACAGAGCCCAATGCAGGCGCATCTGTTGATGCATATTTGGAGTATAGAAGGTTAGTTTACTTAATTACTAAGGCAACCAAAATGGCCAAATCAAAATTGGAAATCGATTCAATGCAACTGTAGATCTAATGTTATGATTACTTTAACACTTGTTGCATTGTTAAGAAGAGTAACTGTGCAATGCCTTCATTTGATATATTGTAGGATGATAATAATAGAAACACTCGTATTAGTATTGTGTCTATAATCTTCATTAATTAACCTGTCAGGAGGTCATGCTCCAAGTCATAATCTGATGTCCATCATATACAGACTTCGTGGAACTGAAATCAACCCTTGTCGTAATCTTACTTCCATTTAAGTATCCATCTGTTACATGTATGTGACAGAAAAACGATTACATTATGACATATGATTTATGATGTTGCAATGCACGATCGAGATGTCAAGAAATTACATGGGAAAGTTTCAGAAGAATGAAGCTGCAGAAATATAAGATTAATATGATGCTGCTGATACTTTCCCATTTATTATCACCATAACAAGTTGACAATTTAAAAATTCAACCGCCCCTTTAAAAATTCAATTACCATAATTATGGAAATGGGATGTTTACCCATTTTTGGACCTTCTCTTAACAATCAGATTACACAAAATTAGAATTTCATACAAATGAGAATTTTGCACCTAAAACAAGATAAATATATCTCCTTCTTAAAAGTATATCTTGCATGTACAGAAATGCCAACAAGATGGTATTTGTTTTTAACTGATCTTTTATGTGCTATTATAGGTGACCCAACAATAGCACAATAGGTTCGATGAATGACGTCTATAGAGCTTGTTGATTTAGGGAATTCTTAGTGATATATACGCCCATACCAGATTTTGTGGTTCAAAAGGAGTCATTCACCTGATGTCTCCTCTATTCAAAAAGTTTTCTGCCCAAAAATATGATTATGATAATCTCCATTGGTAAAGATCCTCTTTTAATCATTGCATCTTATAAAACTTTGGTTTGTGAATGCAATTTGAGAAGTTAAGAACCTTATCTAAAACTTTGTGTCAGCCACTGTGCAGTAAAGCTATTCTGTTGTAGAATTGTTTAAAATGATGATGCTAAATAATTGTTTAATATGTGAAGCAAAATTGTAAGGGATTATGTTGTCATTGTTTATGTGTTGTATAATTATATGGAATAATGATGTCATTGTTTATGTGTTGTAGAATTGTATGGGATAATGATGTCATTGTTTATGTGTTGTTTAATTGTATGAAATAATGATGTCATTGTTTATTTGTTGTAGAATTATATGGGATAATGATGTCATTGTTCATGTGTTGTAGAATTGTATTGTTGTAGAATTAAATGGGATAATGATGTCATCGTTTATGTGTTGTAGAATTGTTGGGGATGACGATGGAGGCAAAACCTTCACCCAAGAAGAATATGATAATTACAAAAAGAAGGTCCTACCTATGGTGAGTATATACTCATAATAAAAACATATAGAATAGAGGTATTTTGGTAAGGCTAGAATGTATCCCTGCATATGGAGAAACTGACTTTATTTATTTATTTATTTATTTATTATCTAATAATTTTTTCCAATCATCAACCAGAGTATAATGTTATATAGCATATCTTCTATTTCAGACAGTACATTACAAATCAAATTTTAGTGTTTACAGAATTAACATTGGATATGAGTGCCAAGTAAAATTTAGATTGACATGAAAATATTTATTTTTATGTCACCATCACAAGTAGTGACATATTGTTGTCTCCAACTTTTTGTGAATGGTGTTTGGCAGTTGGTGTTTTGCGTTCGTCAGTGTTTGATGGTTGGTGTTTGTAACAAATGGCATTTAGTGACATTTTGCATGTTATTGCCCTGTTCTTCTTGCATTACTTATGTTAAAAAAATGATTATAAATTTGATATGAACATCAAAATATTTTCAGAGGATGAAAAACAGGCTTTTTACAAGTTGGTCAAACCCTGATGGTATGGACTGCAAAATGATTGGACCTGAAACTCCCTGTTTCTGTACCCATAGGTAGGTTTAACTCATGATCAGTTTACCAAATAACTAATGTGGTTTAGCATGTACTTTTTGTTCAACTGATTCAAAATTCAATTCCTGGTTTAGAGAAGGTTATTGTATTTTGCCCACAGCTTGCAGAAAAAGTGAGTGAATATGTGCTGCTCTGATAAATGCTTATGGGGCCATACAAAGGATAAGAGAAAAATTACTCCTTCAAACGTGATATAGGAAATAATTCTTGATATTGTAAAACACATACAGTATTTAATTTAACCAAAAGCTAAATATTAATTTTGCCCTAACAAATGCTCATGGGACTTTTCAAAGGATAAGAGACGTCAGTTCTATAAAAGTGATATAAGAAATAATATTTAATATTGTAAAATACAAACATAATTAAATTTAAGCAAAAATTAAATTCAAATCATTGCTCTAATAAATTCCCATGGGGCTTTACCAAAAAAAAGAGTAATCTTTGTGTTTCATTTTCAGATATAAACAACATAAAACTGACTTTGAGTCTGTTCCTTTGCAACGTCCTCTTCATCTACCATGCAAGGTGAAAGGCTGTAAATGTGTAGGCTACCATTATGTCCCGTTAAATGGTTCACAGCCAATAAGATGTCGCTGTAAACACTTCGCTGATGAGCATTTAGCTGGGAAACCGAACAAGTGTAGAAAGGGTAAGGAAAACATGAAGTAAAGTTTGATTATGTCACCACCAGAAGCGGTGTCATTGTTAAAGTCTCCAACTTTTTTATCGATGGTATTTGGTGGTTGGTGTTTGACAGTTGATGTTTGGTATTCAGCATCTGTAGCAAATGGCAGGTGGTGATATTTTACATTTTATGCTTTGTTTTATACATTGTTGATGATGCATGAAAAAAAAATTATTTGAGTTACACTGCAGACTGTGGAGGTACATTTTTCTCATTTACATTTTTTGAAGAGGTATAACATTCCTTTCAGCTGTATCCTGTATGTGTGATGGGTTCTACAGCTCATTCACGTGTGGCTGCGGTAACCCCACCTATAGTCACAAAACAATCGTAGAGACAAAGGAGGAGCGTGAGAAACGAGGGCATCCTGTTGGCATGGCAACACCATATCAGGCAATGGGTGGCATTACTGGATTCTCCTCATTGGCTGATGGCTATATGAGGTTGGATCCGAGCGGGAAAGGTAAAGGCAAAAACGATGAAGATGTAGAATACAAAGAACTAATAAAAAAATTAGCTAAGACAAGTATCCACTGGGTATGTCTTCACTTTTTTTTTATTATTTCTTAATTTTTTTTATTTCAGACATGTCTTTGTTCTTTGAGTTACATAATAGATATATCAAAATCAAAAAATGTTTCATTTGGTAAAATCTATCCCAAAAATAGTGAATTTTAAATACCTTATTTTCTCTAAAAAATGCACAGTGCCTTCTCAAAATTAACATTGAAAATAGTCAAATGTGAGAAACTCAAAAGACCACACATACAAAAATTTATGTTGCCGATTATAGGTGAAAATCTTGTTTCAAACATTTTAGTTCTTCTATAAATCGATGGCTCCAAAATTACTTTCTTTTTATCAGTTTATCAAATGTAATTTAGCTTAAGATTTTTCCTGCTGGAAAAGGAGTAAAAAAATTGCTGGTCAATTTTCAATTTTTCTGAGACCGTATTCATCATAAAACTTGCAGGTGCATTCTATTGGGTCATGCGCTCTCGAGAGAGAATATGGTATCTTTATATAATTTGTGTATTACAGGTGCCCCCTCTGAGGAGTGGCTAGACCAAGCTATAACATCAGATGACAATGCATTCCTGAAAGCCAATGTCCAATCTATCAGAGCACACAAAATTGCCATGAAAGGAAAGAATCCTGCATTACCAGGTATTAAAATTGAACAGCACATTTTGTGGTGAAATCGAACAGCACAATTTCAAGGCGTAATTTCCTTTTGCTCATGTTTTTATTTAAGGTACAATGAGTAAATTTGAGATTTTTGTCTTAAATAAAAACAGTACTGAAACTATATGATTGATGGTCTTGTTTGGAAATACAGAATAAAGTGGAAAAGAGTGGAATTAGCAAGGAATAAAATTAACAGTCATGTACTTCCCACTCAAAAGTGCATAGAAATGTTTGAAAATTTTATGCCTCTTTCAAATTTTAGAGAGCAAAATTGTAAAATAAACATGTAATGAGCAGACGGACAATTTATGTATTGATATTATGCTTCTTGATGTAGGTATATCAGCAAGCTTATGCTTTTTTCATTCTAAAGGTTATGGGTATTTAGAAAATTAATTTAAATTGGATTAAATAATTGGATTTCATTTCACTTCATACTTTTTTCTTTATAGTGGAAAATGAGTCTTCTATAGTTACAGTACAGCAGATAATTTTTAGTTTTACACTTAATTTTCATTTTGCTTCGAATCTTATTCTTTAGTTATTCATATGATTTGAATAGTAGGAATGACTCACATAGTCTAATCTACAAGCCCCTGTGAACCCCCCCCCCCCCACTACTTGACTACACACCTCACATAGGGGAGGTGCTTAGGGTGGAGGGGTCACAAGGCACATATCATTGTCCTTTCTGGTATCATGTTTTCATAATTGAGGGACCAGGTCAAAATTTTGACGCTGTCTCAAAATCTAATGAATTGTATTTTAGATAGACCCACCCCCTCCCTACCACTTCATTTCATTTATACATTGGTATGGATTATTTATCATAGATTTAATTCCCAAGTTGAAATTGCTCACTTTTAAAAATTAGCATTTCTTCTGCCCAAACACAATTCATAATATTTTCTTGAGTGATTTTTTGATATATTGAGATGGTTCCTTTGCCCTATCCATCATTAAAAACTAAAATTAAAAGCTAAATATATTTTGTTGTTTTTTATGTTTTTTTATAATTTTTATTTCAGGTTAAACAGGATTGAGATTTATGTTCTTAGCTACTGTATTCTATTTCTATCATTTGAATGTTTTACTTTATAAAGATACTTATAGATTTCTTGTCTTTTAGTACACTTGCTTGTTTTTAGGATATTAAGCTTGCTTGTTAGGTTGTTTTGCTTGCTTGCTTGTTAGGACATAGACCCTTCACAGCCAGTGGGAAAATAGACAAACCAGGTAGGTGGAACCAAAATTCTTTATTTTGTTCCTTGTTCCGTTCCGAGAGCGTAATTCTGAAGGTCGGAACACAATCGGGTATCACTGGAAATATGATTCTCCCTTCATTGCAGGGTAGCAATAATCCATTTATAATTCATTTGTTTGTTTAAAAAAGGTATCTGACATTCTTAATCCTCCCAATTCTGCCAAAAATGTTTTCTAACATCTTAATCCTCGTCTTTCCGCCAAAAATGATTTCTGACATTCTTAATCCTCCTCAGTCTGCCAGTTTCAGGCACAAAGATTTGGCGATTAAGTTTTAAAGACTTGTTCTTCCTGCTCATAATTCATTTGTATTGAAATCTTAATTTACTGATATGATTAATTTGTGGTAACATCACATGTTGATCTCTACAGGAGGTCAATCTAATTTGCTAAATGGTAATACGTTAAAAGATTTGCCAACTACCACGTTATTACCTGTTTTCATACGCAGATATCACTGTAGGAGGTCAATTCTGTTTACATAAGTATCAATATTGAAATTCATGGAAAATTGACTGTTCCACTTAGCAGGTTAATTTTTCAATATGGGACGTTCACCATTCAAGTTTGAAGGTGTTCCACTTACAGAGGGTTTTTAAAATGGGACTTTCAAAAAGTGTTCCACTTGTGAGGTGTTCCGCTGACAGAGGTGTTCCATTTTGCAGGTTCTACTATATTGATTTTGTCCTTGATCCAAGACCATTTTACTGTTTGAAATATTCAAATTCAATTTTCACATCTGATTATGCATTGAAAGTTCATATGTTACAGACATATTTTAGATAAAAGTTACTATAAAAGATTTTGTCTTGCCTTCATCAGTTGTGACATGAACTTTTGAAATTGATGCTGGATGTTTCGACTTTTGGGGTTGTCTCAAAAGTTGATGGTATATTCAATCCAAAGGCACCTCTCTGTGTCCCTATTCATTGTATAGTATGGTAAGCTTTATCTAAGAATATGTCTGTGATAGACGACCTCTCAATTGGGTATGAATACTGCCAGATTGATTAACATTCACTCTCATTCTATGGATTAGATTCTGTTAGTGAATCAATACCAATAGGCTCATAGCCAGCTTTTGCCAGGGGGTTCAATTTTAAAAGGATTCCTGGTGGATACTCATTTGACAGCTTTGGCCCAAAATCACTTGAAAAAGTGTTCAGAATGGTGAAAACTGCATGATTTTAAAAGAATTTTTCACTCAATTGATTTCAGATTATGAGTATGATATAGAAGGTACTGACAAGGAGATGGCGGAGAGAATGTCTCAGATGAGGCGTCCTGGGGAATCTGAACTTGACTACTATGATAGACGTTACAAAGAAAAGGTATGTATATCACATAACCAAGGGTGTAGGGTAAGGGTGAAATGAATAGACAATATTTGGTAGCAAATGAAGACTAAGTGGGAATGTATAGTTATGAATTTTCTTCATGTTTTTTGGCAGTTGGTATGTGTTATTATCACAGGACAAACAGATGTTTCATTCACAAACACGTATCACTTTGAAATGTGGACACCTTATCTTAATGCTTAGCCAGTTCCATTGGCTTTCAAATTAGACAGGTTTAACTCTATTTAGACGTTTGAGTTGTTACAATAAAAATGTTCTCCACTCAAAAGGTGTCCCTCTTTCAACAAATTTTACATCATCATCTTCTTTACAGTCGAAATGTCACTGCGTCAAATGTGAAATTCCAAGCAATTTCTAGACGTGCAAAGATAGTCTAGGAACTCCGCGTATCTAGAGATTCCAAGACGTGTCAAGAGGTGCAAAGACCTCGCGTGTAAAGAGCGTGTCAAGAGTTTTGATATCTCTTTGCACAGCCTTATCAAAACAAACAGTATAATTAGACCGGCCACATGTTGTTATGCCCTATAGTCGCGCTTAATTATACTTTACTAGGATTGGAATATAACAATCATTTTAATTTCGTGTTAATAATAATTTGTGTTTTTTAAATCATTATCAAAATAAAATTAATTTAAAAGTATTCGTGTGCGTGTAAGTATAGGCAATAGCTTAGTCGAAATGAGTAGATGTGTGCAGATGGAGATCGCCTATGTATTTTGTTAAATCTGACATTTTTACAGGATCATGTTAAAGATCAAATGAAAACAAGAAATGTGTTTTTCTTAGGTTTATCTACCCTGATTTCGAGTGATTTTAACTTGGACGCATATTCCTAGATATTAAAACAGTTTGAATGATTAACAAAGTCCACTTTGAACCTTGTCAATCAAATTGTCAAATATGTAGATAGCACATGCAGGCCCGAATACAGGGGGGATAGATTGGTTCTAGCGACCCCCCCCCCCCCTCCGTGACCAAAATTGCATTTTTTACCCCATACTGAGCACCTTTTAAATTATTTTGCTCATTTTTGACCTAACATTGCCAAAAGTAAACTCCCCCTGGAATTTCTTAAAAAAGTAACCCACCCCTTGGCAAATCCTGGCTATGGGTCTGAAACGCCTGAAACATGCTCTGATATAATGAGGCATATTCTGTGATCTGAGCATATCAGATGGGAAGAGTTATGAATGTCAATAAGTGTGATTGTTATCATGTAATCATCTACCTTAATGTCAATACATTACATAATGTAGTAAGGCATTGTACATGTATTTAACAACAGGCACATCCTTCTTCAAAGTACTTCATTTATACTTGTAAAATACCCTTCCAGCGAGGATGCAACAGGCACAGTTACACAAGTTTTATGACCCCAATTAGATGAAATATGAGCTGGGATGAAAGATCTCAAAAATCAAGGGCTGGGAAGATTTGAGATGTCATGGTTTACTATCATGACGCTGAAACATGTGTCGCTTATTGTCACCTGTATTGATCATGATGGGGCGACGGCAGTGCCCCGAGTCTTTTTGATCTGTTTAATCTTATTAGTTACTATTTAAAATTGAATAATTTAGGACCCCGGAAGCAAAACAACTCTTTGTTATGAAAGGAATACACCATGGACAGAACCCCTCATGTAAACCATCTATAAATACCTTTGAAATCAATTTGATTTTCGATCTACATCTGAATCTCAGATGGAGAGTACTCTTTGACAAGATCAACATTTAAAAGTGTAGGAAAGTTTTGATAAAGATATTTAATAGCTAATTATTCAGACATATTGTTCTTTCATGTTGACGATCATCGAACATAATTGCAATCAACTTCCATGATATTTGCAATTTTGAATTTTGAATTATTTTGAATGCAAATGTACTCAAGTACTATATCCTGAGTTCTGCCCGGATCCCCGAAAACGTTTAAAATCAAACTCGATTATTTAGCTAGACTTCAAAATAAGGGATTCAATAGAAACATGAAATCCATATCACTGTATAAATTGTGGAATTTCTAGTAATTTTTAGACGTGCTTAGCCGGTCTAGAAACTCTGCGTATCTAGAGATAGAGGAGGGGAGAGAGGGCTAATTTTATAGCTGAAATTAAAAATAGCTTATGATCTATAAATATAATATATGGTTGTTCTTATAATGAACAACTATTGGTTTAATATCTGATATGTGGACGGATATTTCTTGATTTGGTTTAAAAAGAAACTGAATGTAGGGTTGCAAAAATGAGAGAGACAAAGACGTTCGAAGGGTGGGGGTAAAATTTAATTAAAATCAAGCTGAGATAGAATGAGAATAAACATATCTGTTAGTTGCTCATGTAAACGAAAACAAATTAGAGGGTTCATTAGCACCGCAGACCAGATTTGCAAAATTGGGGGAGTGCATTTTCCCAGGATTTCAAACAATACTATATCTAAAATGTTGCACCTCATATGCCTGGGTCATATTTGCTCCGATTCATCGGCCGGGGGCCGGCCGATTGAGTGTTTTTTCAAACATGAAAACAATTTTAAACAAAATATTCAATCGGCCGGAGGCCGGACGATGAATTTGAGCAAATGTGAACCAGACATTGCAAATTCCTTCAAAATTGAACTAGAAGTTTCAAATGAAAGCCATTCAAAGCTCATTTCTTCTTCCTTCTCTATTGGTTAAGCAGGGGGGGGGTGCGATCATTCACGAATCGCACCCCCCCCCCCTGGTTACGCCTATGTGTTAAAACTTTACACAATATCAATATTTAAAACTGTATCTTGTAAGTGGCTTATTAAGCATCAGATCAATCACTAAGAACCCCTCTTATCTGCCGTTTGCGTTTGGAAGGATAAAGACAAAGGGGACGCGGCTACATGTATATCGCGATAACGTGAAATCTTTATGACATATCCCTTCACCAGGGCCTACACCAATATTCTTAACACCACTTATTAAAGGATGCATGCATCAAGGGGTAGACATCATTCAAAAGACATAAACATGACCGGGTCGGTCAGGGGAAGGTTTGCATACGATGCAATTTGTACATGCAAGCTCATTTTTCACATATAAATTAATAAAGTCGATTCCTTGGGAATACGTTATTGGTTTTATAAGCGTAACGAGGAGAAGCGGTGGGTTCGCACCCCCTCCTACAAGCAATAAAAGGTACCATAAGGTAGAGGAAGAAAAGAGCATTAAATTGATTTTTTGTTTGAAGCTTCTAGCTCAGGTATGAAGGAAGTTGCATCATTTTCGTAAAAATTCAAAACAAATCTTTTTTGCCTCATTTATGTCACGATCGCACCCCCCGACTGAAAACCTAAAATATTTTGGTGATTGCATCACCCCTCCCCCCGACTGAAAGCTGGCTACGACCCTGGGGTTTTATCGAAAACTATATCGTCAACATTTTATCATTATGCGGAAAGTCCAATATGAAATCTTAAATGGTAAATATGTTGCATTTATGGAGGGAATTCCACTGTAAACTATAATGTGAATGTTTGATATAAATACTTCCATACAACCATCAATATCCATTCTTTTGAAATAAGATGTTACAACAAAGGGAATATTGAAAACTACAGTGGTAAGAGCATCTTTCTGACTGCTAATTATGTGTATCAACATTTTGATTGCACCTCAGCTGGAGATTAAATCTTATAATAATTTGATGAAAGGGATTGTAATTTTCCCCAATTCGCTTATCTATGTTACAATCTGTATACTTGTTATATTGTGAGCGGTATGTGTTGATAAACCAAAAAGATATGTTTTTTGGATATCAACATTTAGAAAAAAGTGTAAGATACCATTCTATATGTTTATCTTAGTGTTTAGCATAGGTAAGAATGGGGGATGGGGTGGCGGGGTCCGTCTTTGAATAATTCCAAGGGGTTCATATATTATCACAATTTTGCTACAAAATCACTTGGAAAGTGCATGATTTGAAAGATTATTTGGCCAAGGCGTCCGCTATTAACATGAGTATGAATTTTATAAAAAAAATTACTTGAATCAAAATCGAAGAATTCCTTGCCCCGTGTGTTCACCATTCACCCCGGGGGTTCACACTCGGCTCAGGTGGGGTACCTTTTTTACATTTGGTATGTCAAGCCAATGGACCCACATTTTAAGACAGATTTTTCCATTTTCTGGTATAAGAATCGGTGTGGAAAATATGTTACCCCTCAATTGTGGTACGGCATTGGTCCCGGGGCATTGGTCTAGTTGTTACACATATCCTTCATTTGAGGTTGTTTTATGATCATTTTACTCAAAGATCTGCCTTCTTCTCGGGGCATTCGATATTTCGAATGGCCTTGGTCTTATATTCTGGATATTTGGTACCCGGGGGTATGGCATTGGTTCTATATTTGGATGTTTGACATGGCATTGGTCTTGTGTCATTTGATATGGCTTTTTGGGGTTTATTTTAGTTTGTATGAGAACACATTTAATGCCACCCCCCCCCAAATTACAAATCTACATCTATTCTCTCTACCCCAAAGGTGGATCGGAAGCATGAAAACCAGATGCAGACTCGGGACGGTTGCAAGGGGGGCTATAATGGAGAAATTCGTTTTGATTTTGAGTCTAACTGAAATATTTTGTCACAAATATTAATTAAATACGCAAATAGCCTGTTTTATTAAATGAGACTAGGGCAAAAAATCTATTCATTAAATCTGAAAGCCTAGACGATATCTTCTGTAATCAAGGTGGTTTTGGTACACTTTCGCAATTATAAAAACAAAAACATAGACTAAGTTATTAATCTTTTGTTATCATATCAGATTAAGTCAGTTTTGTCTCCGATTGTTATGCAGGTGTGTGTATCGACTCCAGTGAACAACATTAAGTGAATCAATCCTTGAAATTCCCAAATTCATTCCAAATTCTGGCCGTTAACCCCCCCCCCCCCCTCCCCCATGTCTCTTAATTACATTTATTTTGCAAATGATATATAAATTATAGATTAAAATATTTCATTTTCGAATTGCACAAAGGGCAACATGTGAAGATAAAACCGCGATCCTAAAGCTACTTGCGAAACAAAGTGGTTTATGGTCCCCAATATCATTATTATATTAATACCAATACAATGTACCTCTATGAATATCATAAATTCACTCCTTTTTAATATCAATAGTCAAACAAATTAAGCACTATGCTACAGTTGGTTATCAATCGGAGTTCACGACCTATTGATTACTCTTTAATACTAAATTTAACCATTTTAGAATGGGTAACTCACACCCCCCCCCCCCCCCGTCCATGTCCATGAAGTGCGTAGACTGGCATAATAGTGTCATTTATTAATTAAACATCACTGATTTATGTTGAGACATTCAGTGCGATTATTTCATTTCTTTGTTCAAAAAGTTAAAGCACCAATTAAATACATATTTTTATCACACAAAAGGGGCAGAATACTTGACCTTGTATCAATTCATATCCCGATAATTCTTTACAAGGGAATGTTTCTTATTAAAACATAAGCAGCGCCTAGGCGTCGATTGGGGGGGGGGGTCAATCCAGTGTTATCAGGCTATGTACAGCCAAGTATCCTGTTTATGTAAAAACCCTACGTTCCCGAATCACAATCAGACAATTAATTAGTATATTTGCTGTGTCTAGCAATTGATCATAGAATTAGATGTTGCGAAAACTATGGGAACTTGTACCTGTCTGTTTATGGATAGGCTGGGAACAGCAGAGAGAATGGAACATTCGATTGAATTATTATGCTTGTTTTGCCCAATTGTGTATTAAAATGCCCCTCATTTATCATATGTATGGTCACAAGTTAAGTCGGCGATAATTTGTATTGACTTAACTTGAAACAAATTACTCCGAAATCCAAATACTCATCGAAAAGTAAGGTTATCTTTATATTAAGCTAATACAAAATAAATATATAAATAGGCCTGATGTATCAGTGTTTTCAAAGTTTATTGCACGTTTTATCCTTGAAATGCCTTTCTTTTTCTTATCATGATATGTATTTCCTTCACTTAGGATCAATGCGTCGATTAGCATTGCCTGTAACTGATTTATATTTTCAAAAGGCGGCATGAAATTGCCAAAATGTTTAAATAAGTCAATGTGTCAGCGTACATACAAAACAGTCTGTTTAATATTTGCTACATGTACTTGTTCCAAACAGTCTGCGAAAGAATGATTAAAAAATATATCAATTAAAAGTATCAGAGAAAATACTTGCAATCGTTAAAATACTGTATGTATTGCTATTGGTAATTAGGTTAGTTGTTTACACATAATTATGTTGTTCAGTGTGCCAAGAGCGTGTCAAGAGATTCCATTAATTGTCACAGGGCGTGTAAAGACTTTTTGACATGGTCTTTACACGTCTTTGCACTGCGTGTGCCAAGAAGTGCAAAGAGGTGTAAAGAGTTGAATTCATCGCGTGTCAAGAGGTGTAAATAATTGGCACGTCTAGAAACCCGGCGTGTAAAGACCAGTTTCTAGACGTGTCAAGAGTTGGAATCCCATATTTTACGCAGTGTGTTGAGGCATGCGCAGACCTCTATTTAGTGATATTTTCATTTCAAATATGGCGGCCAATCCGATGTCTGACGACCCTTACAAGGAATCTAGGCAGTTTGCATTTTTACCTCCTGTGAAATAACAAGTGGAATTTAGTAGTTGTTTTGTGTTTTATTATCATTCTGCATCGTAATTCTATGTGATGTGGTGTTGAAATGTCAGCAGAAATACATATCCATACGATAATCGAGTGAATCAGATAACAGATTTTTTGAAAACCCGTCTCGTGCTAAAAACTTGTATTAACATGCTCAAAAGTGCCAATGTGCACATCAATGTCAAGCTTAATCAATGTTGTGTCTAAAACAGGCACCCGATCTACTCAAAACAGCTTGTCATTCACGTATACACACTTAGCAAACACGGCGAAATGACCTGAATCTTGGAATTTCGTTCGAGAGCTAGTAATGTTTGCTCCGGTCTTCGTCATAAGTGTTCATCAGACTTCACGCATGCGCAGGAGAAAAAACATCAACCAATAAGGTTTATAAATCAATTTTGCGCATGCGCCTTACAACGGTAAAGAAATTCGTATTTATAAATGAGCCAGTTTGAGATAACCCGATATCAGTCGGAGAAATCTGACGATCTTTGAAACTCACTTCAAAAAATCAATGCGGACTGACGGCGTATTCTACTATGTTTGGATCTAAGATTTTCCGTATAGATAAAGTCTTTTATGATCGTATCAACTTGAACAAAAGTTGAGTTTTGACGAAAAATTTTAACATGCGCAGAAGTCCCATTTTCGTTGTACCATATTGACTGTTTAATAATCTCTTGGTCTTCTTCCAGTTTCTTAAATAATCTCCTGTTCTACTTTCACTTTCTTAAATAATCCCCTGGTTTTCTTCCAGTTTCTTGAATAATCTCCTGGTCGTCTTCCATCCAGTGTTTTTAACAATCTCCTGATTTACTTCCAGCAAAAGGAGGAAGCAAAGCGTGCCAGGGCACGTCCTGCCCTTGATGCAGGTCCAGGCAAGACTGGGATCAGGAGAGGTGTTGCACCCCCCAAATCTGCAAAAAGTCGAGCTGACCAGATAAAGGTTGGGCCAACAAAGACAGCAGCTAAAGGAAAGGGCATGTCTTGGGAGATCAACTAAAAGACACTCTGTTTTCAATAGGCCCAGGAATATGGATAACTAAGTCCCTGTGTAGTTTCTTAGGGGACTAGGACTCGAATCTTTTATACATATTCCTGGCCCTATGCTGTTTCCCTAACCCCCCTATCACACCAAACTCGTTCTTACCCGTTCTTGCCAGTCCTACGAAAACGTCGTAAAACGGGCTCAGTCTGGCTGTGGTCGGGAAATATGTCTGAAATAATTAGCTTCTTCGTTCTTAAACAGTCTTCAATACGTCCATCTCGTTCGCAGTTCGTTCAGGTCGCACCAGGTCGGTGTGCAACGCCGTAGAACGCGTCCCTTAGTCTAGAAGGTCATCATGACCTGATAACAGAACGGTATGGTCGCAATCGAATTTTGAATCGATTCAAAATTCTAAAATCACATTCCCGTCTGAGAACGTTCATAAAGTTCGTAAATAGACCTTAGAAAGTTGCAGCTACGTTCATTCCGTTCGCACATAGTTTAGAACCAGTTTTGAAGAACGCAGTGGCAACTTGTTTGGTGTGATAGCTATATTTTTGCTAACTCGTTCATTAGCAGTGTTAAATACGTTCTTAATCAGTTTAAACCCGTTTGCAATGAGTTCTACCTCGTTCTCAACACCTCCTCAGACAGTTCAACTTGTTGTTAAAACGTCCCTAGTAGGATTGAAGTACGATGGTTCCGTTCGTAGTACGTCCAACTCGTCGTTAGTACGTTGTCACTCGTTCTAATTGTAGAACGTGACGACCACGAGAACATTTTGAGCATTGTCTAAGTTCTAGAGGACCTACCCGTTCGAGTACGTTCGATGAAGTTTGTAAATAGATCCTAAACGGTTCTTAGTACATCCAGTCCGTTCGTACACAGTTGAAGCCCGTTTTCGAGAACGTAGTGAGAACTAGTTTGGTGTGATAGTAGGGTTAGGAACAGTTTTCAAATATCAGCAGCAATTGTGAAGAACATAATTTTTTTAACCTCCCCAACATACAGAGTGGCTCAATAAAAATGTAACAGGTACAAAATGGTCAATATCTTTGATAATTTTGGCATTTACCCTTAAGTATAGTTGAGTCCTTTAAGAACAAGCTCTCACGATTAATTTGACATCAGTAGATTTGATTAATTTGACATCAGGAGATTTGATTAATTTGACATCAGGAGATTTAAGATCCTTCCATTGGTTGACTGGCACAGGACAGATTTCGTTGACTCATGTGAAATCTCTTCTTATACTTGTAACATTTTTATTGAGCCACTCTGTATTTAAATGATTTTCTAACACTGTCAGATAGAAAATCAAAATTTCCTAAAGACAAAATTGACATTTATTCCAACCCCCTCATAAAGATTATGTTTTTCACAAATGTTAATATTTCAATGGGGTCCCTTACATAGGCCATGTTAATTTATATTCTGCAAATGTTGATCATTTGGGAAAGGTTTGAGGACTACTATGTCTAAAAACATAATACCTTGGATATCCTTAACATTTTGTTGATGGGTAGATTGAGCTAATAGTCTAAATATTAGTACTGACCTAGATTAACATAAATTTAATAATTAAAACAAGAATATCTAGATCAATTGTTGTAACCATTGATATAATGATGCCATAATAAGAGAACAATGGAATTCTTGTATCTGGTATAGACCACTTGGTCCCTTTGAAAGTCTTAGATTTCGAAATTAAGGTTGACTAAGAAAGGCATTTTTTAACATGTTCCAATGATGCAAGTTATAGTTTTGCCCAATTTTTATTCTTTTTGGTCAGCCTTAACATGGTCAGTTCAATATTTGAGGTGAATGGGCTTTGTAGAATCTGCTTTGATATTTATTTATATTTCTGCATAATCATAGTTTATATGTTGAAACACATGAGAATCTATACTACACATGAATACTGTAATTTGGGTGAATTTGCTAGCGTTTTTTTTTGGTGAATTTGTGAATTTGAAGCTTTTGCCAATTTACATTTTCACCAAAATTTAAGATTTATTCCCAGTTATTTACAACAGTACAAGAAAAATGAAAATTAACAGTGCAGTTGACTTAAATGTGAAAATGCACGAAATCGAACAAAATAGCCATATAACAAAATCATAAATTATGTCAAGTTACTTCATGCTGTTATTTAGGTATCTAACCAAGTGTATGATATCATTTCAATACATTCCAATATTCAGGTATTCATTTTAATTCTTATTCTACCATAGTGGATATGGTATTTTTTCTATTTAATTTGCTATTTATTCACATTAAATGCTTTTTATTATTAGTTATATTCATGTTTTGCTATTTAGTGTGAGCATTTTGCCATATGTACTGCTGCTATTTATACAGCATTAAACTACAATGTATATATTTTTATAGAAGAACAACACATCCGTCCAGTATATGTATACATTTGTTAATGTTACACACCCCCTCAAAAATTTGGCAGCATCAACCACTCAAATTAACTACATGCTAAATATGTTTATATTTAAAATTAAAGTTAAATGTAGTATCAGATCTAGTGAACAACCTTGACAAAAATTGTTTTAATTTATGATTTTTTTTACTCTAATCATTCCAAAAATACCCAAAGTGCATACTTTGTTTGATGAAAACTGAAGCTTTTTACAATACATGTAATAATGCATTCATTTTTCTGTACTGTAAATGTGGTCACCAGGAAAGTTTGAACATTTTTCCCATTTAAGTAAATAACTTCAACAGTTGATTACATATTGTGGATCTTTGCTTGGTTAATTCTACATGCCTGTTGCTTACAATTTCTACATACATCTGATTAATTCTTTTACAATAAAACACTAGTCACATATTTCTGACCTGCTATAATTGAGGTAAAAATAACAACATAACTAGTTGATAAAAAAATAAAAAGGATGGTCAATGTTGCTAAACCTTTGGAGGGGAATCCAGTGTAATGATTTTTTTAAATTAAAATATTTATAAGTATTATTCCGTCCAATTCTTCGAATTTTAATGATAAATTTAATAAAAAATGACAAAACAGTAAAACCTATCTATTTTAAAAGTGGAACACCTTAGATTTTGCTAATGAGTGTCCAGTGTCCACTTTGGATGGTACTGCTCAATATATTCGAGGATCTTATAAATAGCTTTACTATGTCACCATCAAAAGTCATGACATATACAGGGTGGGCCAAAAAAAACCACCCCCCTAGCCATTACTCCTGATAAATATTTATTTTTTAACATGTACACCAACAATGATATATCATTTTAAAGATAATTTAATTTGCAACAAAATGATATATAATAGCACTATTTTCAACAACCCCATATAGAAATATAACTAATTATGTGACATGGGGGTCAAAAAACACCTTTTCAATTTTCATCAATTTTGCGAACAAAAGCCAAATTCTACCAAATTTTGCTGGTCAGTTAAAAATTGCAACATTGTCATGAGTCTTTCATAATTGGATATTATATATTGTTTTCATTCAGTTTTTGAACCATGCATGCTCAATAAACATGTGTATGCTTATAAAACAAATTAATTTCTACTTCAGTCTGTTCAAAAATGGCCCAATAGACCCACCCCCCGGACCCATCCTCTGATCAGATTATTCGCTTATGACGCGGAAGCCATTGGTTGATGGCATAATTGATGGATGTATGCGGAAGTACCATTCAACTGCTAGTTATTCTTTCTTTTAGTTCCTCTACATCCCTGATAGGCTGGGTATCTTTAAATACTAACTGTTCTAGATACCCCCAGGTGTGGTAATCAACATTATTGGCATCTGGACTGCCAGTAAGCCATTTGTCCGGGCTAGAGATGGTTTCATTTCGAATCTCCAAAAACTCCAGGGTAGCAATGAACCTGTGTGATGAAGCACTTTCCTATCAGAAATTAAATTTCTATCACATGTTTTTTATATCCTTAAGGAGTCCTTTTTAACACCTCATGTCATTAACATTCAGAGTATATTTTTGCTCCTGGTTCAACAAAAACAGGGCCTATACGGTCTTTCCTTTTTGGGAAACACCGAGTGGACACCACTACCCTTTCAGAAAAATGTCATCTCGATTTGAGTAGCCTTTTATCGCAAATGTCTCTATTCTTGCTTACTGATATATAGAGTCTATCCTGTTGATTACATGTATAGTTCTTGGGGCATTTAGAACAGTTGGTCTATGAAGAGCACTAGCCTATCAGGGATGTAGACAAACTGAAAGAATGAATAATTACGAGTTCGATGGTACTTCCACAGAGATCCATCAATTATACGAATGGCTTTCGGTTCTTTAGCGAATAATCCAATCAGAGGATTGGTCCGGGGGTGGGTCTATTGAGTCATATTTGGACAGATTTAAGAAGAAATTAATTTGTTTTATAAGCATACACATGTTTATTGAGCATGAATGGTTCAAAACCTGAATGAAAACAATATATAATAGCCAATTATGAAAGACTGATGACAATGTTGCAATTTTTAACTGAACAGTAAATTTTGGTAGAAATAGGCTATTGTTCGCAAAATCGATGAAAATTGAAAAGGTGTTTTTTGACCCCCATGTCACATAAATGGTAATATCTCGAGCCAGGGTTGTTGAAAATTGTTCTATTATATATCATTTTGTTGCAAATTGAATTATCCTTAAAATGATATATCATTGTTGGTGTACATGTTAGAAAATAAATATTTATCAGGAGTAACGGCTAGGGGGGTGGTTTTTTTTGGCCCACCCTGTAGTTATAGTCTCAAACTTTTTTGTGGCTGGCATTCAGCAGTTGGTGTTTGACATCAGTAACAGCATTCGTCGGTCAGCATCTGTAACAAATGGCAGGTAGTGACATTTTGGATGTTAGTGCCTTGTTTAGGAATATTAGATACTGTGTATCTAAGATATTAAAGCTATATTTTCAAATGCTTGTAGATGTAAGAAACCAGTGCCATATATATATAATATAAAGAAGATTAGTTTAAAAATGAGTTTGTTTTTATATGTGAATTATCGTACCTATAAAAAGGTACAATATAGCCGTCAGCTTGGCGGCGGGTGGCATGATGGCGTCTTACCTTTGTTGTCATTCATGATTTCAGGAAAACCACTTCATGGATTTAGTTCAAATTTTCATACATGTTACATGGTAAGAAGTTCTAAGCTGATTAACTTTTCGGTGGCCATCTTGGAATTCCTTCGATAAATCTTGTCAGCACGATTCCAGTAAAACATGTAAAACCACTTAACGGATTTACTTCAAATTTTTACACATGTTACATGGTAAGAAGTTACTTTCTGGTGGCTATCTAGTTCAACAAGTTAAACCCAATACCATGGCTTTCATTTATTAATCTGAATGTTCTTGTTGCCGTGATTGGGTTTAACTTCCGTGCTATGCTTTTATTTGTTGCAAATTTTCACTATCAGTTATTATTAAACGCGCATAAAATTCAATGCGCTGCCATAGACATGATAGACCACCATTGAATTTTTTGCATCAAGAGCCGAATAGGCACGGACGTTAAACCTAGGGCGGGCCACAAGATATGTCAGATAAGAAAAAAGGCCCAGACTAGGTTTAACTTGTTGAACTAGTGGCTGTCTTGCTTTCTGGGTCAACAAGCCCATACTCCTATGTTTAGGTACAATATTGTTCACTCTGTGCCTTGTCTTTTGATAATTTGAAACTTTTATGTTAAAAAAAACAACGCAATTGGCCAGACAATTTCATGTTCGATTTAGGAAAATTTTGGCTTGAAAATGTCCAACAATTACAATTCTTATTTAGCTATTCATATATACTACTTTTGTTCAACATGAATTTCTCAGATGCGAGTAGGTAGTTACCAGATTCGCCACCAGTTGGCTGATTCGGGGGAATTAACATGGCGGGGTATTACAAAATTCCCTTAAACTTGAATATGCATCAGTTTTAGTGGTTCACTTTTCATATTACCTTCATGTATCTGATAGTTTTACAAATCTAAATATGTCCAGTAAAAGAAAATATTATCTACCCAACACAAGAAAATATATTTCACTTTTTGTGGTTTTACAACATTGGGTCTATGGGGAATCTCCCCGACCTAAAAGTCAGATTTTCAAACAAAATTAAATTTTCAAAGTTGATCAACTCTTTTCAAAACCACATTTCTAAATGTAATTTTACATGTAGATTCCAAATATGACATCAGTTTGACTGAATTGTGAATTGTTAATGACGTAAATCAAGATTATTTCTACTCGCATCTGGGATATTGACAGGGTCGGCACTAGATACGCATAAGAGAGTATATCAGCAGATTAAAAATGTATATTTCTTAGTTTTTCAAAGAAATCTAGAAAATATTTCGTAGAAGTTTTATCTTTACATCGTAATTTCAATCATTTTAGTCATTAGTATTGTGATAATAACTTCCCTTATACCTATTTTTACATTGTTGCCCGATTACTAGCAAAAAGATTGACTTTTGCACGTTGGTGATGATGTGCCTTTTTTAATAGATCTCATATCTTAGAAGGGTATCAGTTCAAAAAAAATATTAGATGACCTAACATATTTTGCCATGCACTGCGCCTATTCATTTGGCAATTCAGTTGTAAATTTTCTCTTGAAAAAATAAATCCTCCAAATTTGTGGAGTTTCCTTGCAGAAATCGCCTAATCCCCCCCCCCCTCCCCTTCCATCCATTTTGTACGATCACTGGGCGTGAAAGAGATTAGGATAGCCACTTCAGGATAGAATATTTACATGTCAAAATAACAGGTTTGAGTAGTAACTTTTGATAATAATTTGAATGAAATGTATTATTCTTTCATTCAGTTTGAGATTTTACATTTCATATTTCAATGTGAAATCATACTAGCTGCGACTGTAGTCTATATGGTTGTCAAAATCAATTTCAAAACATTAAGAATTTTGTTCACACACATTGACTGCCTGTAAAATATGGCATCATATATCTACCTAATGGGCACTTGAAATGGTCAATAAAGAGGGGTTACAATTTATGGGGAATGTCCATATTTAGCCTTCCCCAAGTCGGTATTTTTTTACTTAACTGATCTTGAATTATTACCGATAAGTAAAAGGGACTGACTTGTAGGCAAGGCTAGTCAATATTCTAAACTTGTGATTCACGAATAGTATCCTTTGCTTGGTCAGTATTACTAGAAGTATCCTTTGCTTGATCAGTATTACTAGTAGTATCCTTTGCTTGATCAGTATTACTAGTACCATCCTCTGCTTGATCAGCACGCATGCAAGGTTTATCTCTCCAGCCCATGTTAATCAATATTTGTTTTTTGCTTCGGGTTCCTGACTCTGGACGTTCAATGAATAAATCAACGTTCTCCAATGACTCAACGCCACTTTGATCTTCATCAATCTCGAACGGTAGATCGGATATTGGCCAATCTTCTTTGTAATGTGCGATCACTTCGTCGACTTTGCGTCTGAACGTAATTGAATTCAATTCAATTGGCTTAGCTTCGGAGGACACGAAGTTACGAAGAATGAAAGGGAATATACCACCAGTTAGAGTAGCAAGTGTTTGGCTCATAGAACCGACCTTGTAGATACTGCCAAATATGTTGACGGCCATAACAAGGAAGCCAAGAAAGATGACGATCTGTCCAAAGCGTCTCCAGGCGTGAAGCATACTTTTATAGACTGAACCGGGGGCACCGGCAACCTCTATCATTGTGATCGCATAAAACAATTTCACGGGCAAATAATGCAGATCATACTTAGTTACAAAAAGGACTAAATCATTGACATTCCAATGCATTGAACGTTCGCTTGATAATTTGTCAGGCTCCTCATGATCTCCTTGTTCAGTTATGACCTTTGATTTGAAACCCCGATTTTCCTGTAAACGACTTGGAAGCTTGGTCACCTCTGTAACATCATCTTTGACTCGTTCAAACACATCCTTGAAGATTGGCTTGTTAAGGGAGAGGTATTTTAGATAGACATTATGGAAACAATCGTAAGAATATACGAACAAGAGAAACATAATCGAGAGATATCTCAAAATGGAGCCGGCGTTGACAATGAGACCAATTACTGTGAATATAACCACTTCAAAGCCAAAACCAAAACATTCTGACACTAAAAGCATTGTGGTCCAAATCCCGATCAAGTACAATACTGGTAAGATGAAACAAAGGACTTTCCGTCCGCAGTCCATCTGGACATCAGGTCTCTCTTCAGTGGTGATTGGATTCTCGGTGCCTGTATTGGGAACTTCGGAATAGGAGCGGGACACGGTATTGCGAATGTGCACAAAGAACCTAAATGATAAAAAAAACAGTGGGCACAACTTATGATAAAGCACACTAAACAAATGGGGACAGCGATTGGCCAGAAAATAGCACAAATGACGACCCCAAAACATCCAAGAAACCTACACGGCTTTAAAAGAAACTTCACCATTGTCCCAATAATAGTACTAATCGGAATAGTATGCATGTCCATAAAAGAACTTTTAACTATTTTTCTGTAAGTTCCACTTGATCATTCTAATGGATCTGGAGATTGTCTTGTATAATTGCACCTAGCACATGTTAATCTCCGTGTATCATAGGTTAGATCATTCTAATGGATCTGGAGACTATCTTGTATAATTGACTTAGCACATGTTAATATCCATATCATTGGTTAGATCATTCTAATGGATCTGGAGACTATCTTGTATAATTGCACTTAGCACATGTTAATCTCCATATCATTGGTTAGATCATTCTAATGGATCTGGAGATTGTCTTGTATAATTGCACTTAGCACATGTTTATCTCCATATCATTGGTTTGATCATTCTAATGGACCAGGGGACTTTCTTGTATAATTGACTTAGCACATGTTAATATCCATATCATTGGTTAGATCATTCTAATGGATCTGGAGACTATCTTGTATAATTGCACCTAGCACATGTTAATCTCCATATCGTTGGTTTGATCATTCTAATGGATCAGGAGACTATCTTGTATAATTGACTTAGCACATGTTAATATCCATATCATTGGTTAGATCATTCTAATGGATCTGGAGACTATCTTGTATAATTGACTTAGCACATGTTTATCTCCATATCATTGGTTTGATCATTCTAATGGATCAGGAGACTATCTTGTATAATTGACTTAGCACATGTTAATCTCCATATCATTGGTTTGATCATTCTAATGGATCTGGAGACTATCTTGTATAATTGCACTTAGCACATGTTAATCTCCATATCGTTGGTTTGATCATTCTAATGGATCTGGAGACTATCTTGTATCATTGACTTAGCACATGTTAATCTCCATATCATTGGTTTGATCATTCTAATGGATCCGGAGATTGTCTTGTATAATTGCACCTAGCACGTGTTAATCTCCATATCATTGGTTAGATCATTCTAATGGATCTGGAGATTGTCTTGTATAATTACACCTAGCACATGTTAATCTCCATATCATTGGTTAGATCATTCTAATGGATCTGGAGATTGTCTTGTATAATTACACCTAGCACATGTTAATCTCCATATCATTGGTTAGATCATTCTAATGGAACAGGAGACTATCTTGTATAATTGACTTAGCACATTTTAATCTCCATATCATTGGTTAGATCATTCTAATGGATCTGGAGACTATCTTGTATAATTGCACTTAGCACATGTTAATCTCCATATCATTGGTTTGATCATTCTAATGGATCTGGAGACTATCTTGTATAATTGCACTTAGCACATGTTAATCTCCATATCATTGGTTTGATCATTCTAATGGATCTGGAGATTGTCTTGTATAATTACACCTAGCACATGTTAATCTCCATATCATCAGTTTGATCATTCTAATAGATCAGGAGACTATCTTGTATCATTGCACCTAGCACATGTTAATCTCCATATCATTGGTTAGATCATTCTAATGGATCTGGAGACTATCTTGTATAATTGCACTTAGCACATGTTAATCTCCATATCATTGGTTAGATCATTCTAATGGATCTGAGACTATCTTGCATTATTGCACCTAGCACATATTAATCTCCATATCATTGGTTTGATCATTCTAATGGATCTGGAGACTATCTTGTATCATTGCACCTAGCACATGTTAATCTCCATATCATTGGTTAGATCATTCTAATGGATCTAGAGGCTATCTTGTATAATTGCACTTAGCACATGTTAATCTCCATATCATTGGTTTGATCATTCTAATGGATCTGGAGACTATCTTGTATAATTGCACTTAGCACATGTTAATCTCCATATCATTGGTTTGATCATTCTAATGGATCTGGAGACTATCTTGTATAATTGCACTTAGCACATGTTAATCTCCATATCATTGGTTTGATCATTCTAATGGATCTAGAGGCTATCTTGTATAATTGCACTTAGCACATGTTAATCTCCATATCATTGGTTTGATCATTCTAATGGATCTGGAGACTATCTTGTATAATTGCACTTAGCACATGTTAATCTCCATATCATTGGTTTGATCATTCTAATGGATCTGGAGACTATCTTGTATAATTGCACTTAGCACATGTTAATCTCCATATCATTGGTTTGATCATTCTAATGGATCTGGAGACTATCTTGTATAATTGACTTTGCACATGTTAATCTCCATATCATCAGTTTGATCATTCTAATGGATCTGAGACTATCTTGCATTATTGCACCTAGCACATATTAATCTGCATATAATTAGTTTGGTCATCACATTTCGTTCAAATCTAGCTAGTCTAATGGATCTTTTTCTGAGACTTTCTTGTATAATTGCACCTAGCACATGTTAATCTCCATATGATTAATTTGATCATCACCCCGATTATAATGAGACCTTCGACAACCGAGACCACAGACATACCTAAATAGAAGCCAAATACGTTTCCAATGTCCGTCATTACATTGTCATAAGTGTAAGTCCTTTCCTCGAATACAGTCCTCACATCAAGAGACTCGAAATGAAGATTTAGTTTCATGAAGTTTTGATCCATTACTTTGTCCAAAGCATTAGTTAATGTAAATCTTGAATTCCCAAACGTATATCGCATTGATTCATGTGTTGGTGGAGGTATATAGATCCTATACCTTTGAGCTCTGGTTGCGACGTGAAAACAAAATTCTATCAATTCAAGTGGAGCATTTTCGCATGAATGTGATGTCCTGTAAAACCGTGAACTAGTGTCGAGAAGCTTATACAGAAGATTTTTCGTCTTGGGATGTCGCTGTAGAAATTTGAACAACCCTCTGTGGTGTCCGCGTTCAACAACTTTCTTTTGGGGCCATGGGATAGTGTTGATTAAATGTGTGTATGTATTTTCCTTGCATGGCCGTTTGCATTTGCACGATGTTCTTTCGCTCATCAACCTTTGCTCACATTGCAGTCTTTCTATTATGCTGTTTGAGATCTTGAAAAGTTCTTTTATGTCACCTGATATTTTACAATTTGGCCATGTTGGTTTAACAAAAACGTTATAGAGGAGCTCAGATATGTTTCCACAAAACGGCGTTTTTGTGAAGTTATGCTTTGTTGGAGTAATGAACATTGGTGAGATGCAGCCACACCTTTTAGCGATTCTCTCTTGTATACACTGATCAACACATACATCGTAAGAATACCCATATGTAGTATTTGTAATGTAACCTGCATCAGTACATTCACCATAAGGAGGCAGAAGTCGTGTACGCGTTTCTTGTGTTATCCCGACGGATGAAAATCGGCCAGGGAATATATAAAATCCTTCATTGTATGGTCTAGGCATTGTCCCTGGTTTGTGTAGAACAACTTGAACGCCATCACTTGGCGTCGAAAATATTGTGGTGAATCCATCTCTTACCTCCCAATTTGAAACTGTTGATGATAATGGATTTGCCCGGCCTGTGTACAGAATTAATGCAATGCCCTTATCAGGCCCGATTTCGCTTACATGGTCATTTGGTTCATTCACTGTCAGTGTGAAACATTGTCCATATACAGTATTGGTTCGTGTGATGTTCATCTGTGATTCGCACGGCTTATTGTTATATATACATTCGAGGATGAAGTCTTCAACTTTAATAGGAGTTGCAAAAGTCTCATAGTCGATTGGTACATTTTCAACAAGCCATCCACTTGAAATCAGTTTGTGCCGTAACTGAAAAATATCTTGTAAAGGTAAGCAGCCTCTCTCATATTTGTCAATTTTTCTGATTGTATTGGCATCATAGTTTTCTTCTGGCTGGAATATAACTTTATACGAACAGTCCAGCATGTGCACACGTGTCCACAATTCGCCAGTAAAGCCCTCGATTTTCCTCCGGACTTTTTGGTTAATATCGCGCATGTAGTATGGTATGAACGGACATAACGTGACTGCAGGAAATGCTAATGGCTGGGTGGTCACAGATAAGCCATCTTCTGTAACATTCCCTCAACTCGTTGTGGTAGCGTGGTTAAAAGAGAGGGAGATGTTATTGGTTAAAATTATGAACTTTATTCTTAGTTAATTATGGGGGGTGTAAAACATCTGTCTTTACAATGAGTCTTATAAGAAATAAACTTTTATGTCAAAAGAAAGATGGCGTTCTGGTAAAAATCTCTACATCTTGATTATACTGGAAATTGTCTCATGAAAGGGGGGAATAATATCATCTTAAAGAAATATAACACGACAAAAGTTTTAAATAAAGAAACATATTTACATGTGTATATTGTTTAGATATAAAACATAAAAAAATGACAATAGTACAGTAACAATTAGTTATGAATATTCAAACTGTGTTCTGGGAGAAGTTTCTATATAAAGTGACTAACATGGACTAACAATGACTAGCACGAATTATAACAAGTGACTAACACGAGCTAACAAGTGACTAGCAAGTGACTAGAAAGTGACTAGCAAGTGACTATCAAGTGACTAGCAAGTGACTAACACGAGCTACATGGTTGGAAATTTGCAATATGAATGCCGGAATTTCCAGAGACTGGCAAAGCTGGACTATGGGGTACTTTGGGAAGGGGAAATACATCTCTCTAATAGGATACATGGTCCTGGGACTAGAGGAGATGTAAAGGGGCTCCTGGGCAACTTTTGGGCCGGAGCATTATATACATTTCAAGGTATCTTTCATGCCAAATCTCGCAACAGAATATCATAAAACATATATCAATTTGTTGATCATCATTTGATTAATACAAATATATATTTACCTAACACCAATAGAGTCGGAATACTGCAAAATCGATCGAAACGTAGGAGATATATCCATTAGCAGCCTTACAGTTGAAATCTAAACAGAACACAAACCAAACTTCTCAACTGAGGAAAACCTTACGCCGAATTAATAAACTAACCTAACAAATAAAAGTATTTCACACCTAACACAGATACCAAAATATGATTAACATAAATACGCTGAATACAGAAGTTGTGATTGAAGTAAATTGCTTATAATTAATGGTAATTACTGGATAAAATCCTGGGACTATATTCTGCACTATTTGTACCTTTAATATCA